TCGGCCAGCCAAGGGGCAGCACCCCTTTTCCACTGCCCCTGGGGTGCACGTACCTGGGTCTTGTAGAAGCGGTGGATGGCACTGCTGATGGTGCAGCCCACGTAGCCCTCGGCGGCGTCGGGGTTGTGGAGGAAGCGGATCTCCAGGGGGGCCGCGTCCTCGCCCACGTCGATGGCCTGGATGTAGGTGTGAGTGGTCCAGTCCCACACGTTGAGGCGGCGTCCGTAGCGCCCTGGGAGGGGGAATCGGAGGGGATGCTGCGAGGCACAAGGTCTCCAGATGTGCCACGGGTTCAGGTGAGTCCTCAGCCCCTTCAGCTCCCCGCAGGGACAGCCCCATGGTCCCTGCACCAGGACACACCAGTTGCTTTGGACCTTGGCAAAAGCCACGGGAAGGTGCCCGGCATTCAGCGGGGACCATCTCACTGGGACGGGGCTGGGAAGGGCAGCGTAACCTTTGGGGGGAGCTGGGCTGAGATGGGGCTTCACCCTTCGTCCCTGCGGCCGAAATCCAGCCCCACGTACAGCTCAACAGCAGCGTTTATGGGCTGGCTTGGGGTGGACTTGTGGTGTTTGCATCTGAAGTGTGTTCCCAGTAAATGGGCCGGGCTCGTCTTTTTTTAAATCCATGCGATCTCCAGGAATTGTTGTGAAATTTGTTTTGCAAGCAAACTGTCTTGGACAGTTTCATCTACGCCCATCAGATGCCAGCGCTCACTGGCAAGAGGAGAGGGGTGAAATTCCGCCTTCTCGCAGTGCTGCTCAGCGTCTCTCTCCTGGAGTACGTAAACAACAGTTTTCTCACCTTTCTTCAGATCATTTGGGTCAAATCCATATCCCAGGCATTTTGGGATTCCCCATTCGGTGCTGATCAGGACGTTATGGCGTGGCTGGTACCAGAAGTCATAACCCATTGGAGGGGTCTTGTCCCCTTTCTCCCAGGTCCCCTTGATCTCAAAGGTCTCTCCATCCAGCAGAATGAAGCCCCCTGATGCAGAAACAAACCCCATCAGTGGTGAGGAAATCACCCAGAATAAAACAAGCAGCAACAGACAGATCAGCCCTTCGCAGCCCAGGCTGCTGAACAGGCTGGGAGACCTGGATGAAGCCTCCAGGACAGGTCTGGAGGTGGGGACCACTCCTCCCGTCCCACCACCCTCTCCCTGGGGGACTGGGGTACCTTTCCCGTTGCCAGCTGGGTCTCCCAGGGTGCTGATCATGATTTCACCGCTGCCCAGGCAGTGGGAGGTGTGGGGGTAGCCCAGGTCACACTTCCAGAAGACGTCCTCTGGGTTGACAACCTGCCGGGAGTTCACAGGCACCGTCACATCCTCCGTGCCGGGCTGTCCCTGGCGAGAAGGGCGTTTGCTGCTGCGCGGAGCAGCTTCAACCCTGGCATTACTGGGCAGCTCCTGCCTGACCTCGAGACAGGACTTGCCGTGCAGCCAGAGGGGCTGAGCACGTGAGCTGGGGCAGAGCGTGCACGGTCCTGTGTCCCCAGGCATCCTGCCGCGCTCACCCTGACAAGCTGGCACCCGGCGTGCCCTGGGCCCGTCCTGCACGGAGCTAGATGGAGAACTCAGTGTTTGCACAACAGTGGGAGAACAACCACCTTCCACAGCCTTCCCGTGTTGTGATCCAGACATCAGGGTCCTGCCAAGCTCTGAAGCTTCTTTGCTCAGCTGTGCCCGCAGCTAGAAGCCGCGATCCCAGACCTTTAAGCTTTGCCGCGTATCGGCACCACCTCCGAGGTACCTTGAAAAGCCTGGGAGCTCGTGGGTCGGTTCCCACATCCACCACGTAGATGCGGGAAGAGATTAAGCTGGGGAGGATCAGGCGGTTCCGCTTCTTGGTGGCGTCCCCGAAGCAGCTGCTGCAGGTGTTCCACCCCGAGTGGTGCAGCTCGTCCCCCACGTTGGGCATGGGCAGGCGGTGGATCACCTGCAAAGTCCCAGCCCTGCTTAACACCGGTCTTTCCTCTGCCACGCGCAGGACCACGGGCAGACCGGGGTGCTCAGGGCATTGCAGACCCCACCACGGGGTCAGGACAAGTCTCACCCCACAGAGGGGAGCGATGGTGCACAGGGGATCCTGAGGATGGGGTGGGAAGCGGATTTTACATAAATTTCCTAAGCACAAGAAGACTCAGAGTCTTGGGGAGAACTGGACAGGCATCAGCCTTCGGTACTGGGGAGCACAGCAGCTTTGGGGAGCACAGAGGACAAGCACTGAGCTGCTTCCCAGCCCAGTTCAGCGCCGAGATAAAGCGCTCGGTACCTGGCAATAGTGCGGAGATTTGGGGTTGACATCCACAGTGGAACACAGTGTCCAGAAAGTCAGGTTTCTTCCTCCCAGTGTTCCTGTAGATGCAGGGCACGTAGATAATCTCCTCCCGGGGACCTTTCAAGACAGAAATGTTGTGTAAGCACCAGCAGAAACCACGTGTGACAGAATAAAAACCACACAGGAGTCTCTGGCCAGACTGGATCTTCCCGCTGGGGAGCTGGTGTGTTCCCCCATCCGCGTGGGGTGGTTGATCTCCATCTCTGCTGTACCAGGCTGGGCTCCCTTTGAAGGGGGCTGCCCTGGGGGGATTTGGGCTCATTCAGATCCATCTCTGGAGCTCAGAGTCCCTAAGGAAGCGGGATCACTCCGTGCCTGCCAGGACACGCCAGCCCTTCCCCAACCCATCAGTCACTCAAACGAAACCGCGTTGTGTCTCGTTTCCACCACATCGGCACAGGAGAAGCCTTCAAAACTCACAAGAAGCGCTCGCCAGACCGAAGTCAGAGGCAGAAAGTCCCTCAAGCCCCTGTGCCATCCCATAGTCCCACCGAGCAGCGAAAACCTGCCGTGACACGGTGGAGCAAGAGCTCCCTGCTCGCAAAGCATCCCGCTGGGCAGGGGAGAAGGGCTCTGCCCCAGGGGTGCCCTCGCAGCGACGGGTCTGCCACGCTCCCTGCTGCTCCCGACGGCGCCCGCCGCTGCGCTGGGAAATGGGTTTGCT